CATCTTTAAATTTGACATGTCCATAATTAATTTTTAATGTAGTTTTTCAAGCTACTTGTACAATTTACTTTACAATTTGGTTTACAATACATGAGTCAGCAAACATCACATTCATTTATGTAAAAAAATTGTTTTTAAAATCAAAGGTCAGGATTTTTTCAACACGTTTGTTATCAACCAAGTTGTGCATAATCATTTTGACAATTTTCCTCCAATCAACACTTGACGCCACTAGTACTTTTTATGTATTTGATTGTAAATAGGATCATGTTGTGTGTACATAAATTGCACACACAGAAGCCATACAGAGCATACATAGCAAGTGGGAGGGGGGATTTTTTGACATTTTTTATCACAACATGATTCCTATATATGTGAGATTTCTGATAGAATTTTGTGGAACAATTTTAAGTACAAACGAAAATTTACTTGTAAATACATGTATGGCAGTACAACTTATTCGCCCAAGACAGTACGGAATGACAATGTGTTGGGGATCCTAGGAGTTCAAACAACCAAACCAACAATCAACAAACAAGATTCAAGGCAAAAACAAGAAAAATAAACCGAAAGAATACTCCCCTTCTTTGGCCGAAAATCTGTCCAGCTTTTCTGCTTCGTTTCAGCAGCTCCTTCTTCGATTTATGGGTGTTTTTCCAGGCTCAGGAACAGCCCCATGTTATGCCAATTGCCTTCCAAAGAGAGAGGGGAAAAACCAATGAAGAACCACCACCCTTTTATGAAAAACGAGAGCTCCTACTGCTGGGTCTTCAAGAGACTGAGAGCTGCCCCCTTTTTATTTGAAAATGGTAGAGTGTACATAATGAAGGGGTAGGAAGAAAGACCATGCCTCTGAAAGAAAAAATATCTTAATCCTACAATTTTGTTCTCTGTGTGGATCACCGTTAGAGGCTGGACAATTGGACAACTGTGGGTGGCGAATCATGATCACTGGAACAAGGGAAAAGCAAAGAAGTTTACAGATCTAGAAATATGTACAATTTCTATTTAAATACAAAGAGATCCTTGATGGAAATTGAAATATGTTTTTAATTTCGCTGCGTAGGATTAAGAAAATTCCGAACAGCCACATCGGATAGGAGCCTCGCCTAGCTTCTTATGAGATGTCATTCCACGTGGGATACCATACAGGCTCCTTAGGGGAGGGGGGGGTCTCGGTATCAAGGCTTAACAATAGATCCCCAAATCCATATATGATTTTTCATGTTATGCGTGGACTTTTTTCATATGCGACGTGTTGTTGTAGTGGCAAATTTTTTCTTGCAATGGTTGGGTTTTTGACACAATACGATATTCCTCCACTTCCTTTGAAGTTCTTTAAATGATAGAATGTTATTCGAATGATTGATGTGATCCCAGTGATGAGTAATATATCAAATTCTTGTCAGCATAAGTTATAGGATGACTGCCTCTTTTAAGAGCATTAAGGGGTTGTTCGAGACTTGTGAATTTTAACAAGATCAACTTCACCTTGAGACAGTTTCTCACGTATAAAATGATACTTTACCTCAATATGTTTAGTTCTTTCATGGTAAACAGGATTTTTGATGACTGCCTCTTTTAAGAGCATTAAGGGGTTGTTCGAGACCTATTTATTTAAATGCATTTTGTAATAGTGTTATGATGGAAAATGTATAGTTAAAAAAAAAAAAAGAAAAAAATTTGGGTTTGTATGTAATATTATTTTATTGAAGAATGTGTGGTTAAAATGTCGTCAAATCATTGTTCAAGACTACATTTTGATGGGAAAATGGGGCTCAAACAAGGGCTAAATGTGCCACAAGCTAGTGAGGTTAAATTGATGCATAGGATATGATGTTTCGATTAAAGAGATAAAGCATCGCGTGCCTCCTCATCCAATGGACACCATTTCATATGTGACACTATAAATACCCTTTCCTTGTATCATTTGAAGGTTAATGCAATATTACACATTGAAGACTAGAGTTATTGCTTCTCTTTGCTTTGTTATTCTCTATTTCTTGAACTAGATGTTTAACCTTGAGTTTATGTGTTCTTGATTGTTCATTACCATACAATCCTATTTATATATGTTGTCGGAGCTTGAACATCTTTGTCTCGCATTATAAAGTTTCTCCCCTGCTTAAATTCGAAACGTCGTTGACTAGTAATCCGTCCAAACATGTTGAAATTAGCTTGTGTGGACACGAGTGGGCTCGATAACACTAACATTTAAATTATTCCTTTTTTACAAGATGATATGTTTGCCTAACAACATGGGAGTGTATTTCTCCCTGTTGAATCTAGCCTAATGAAAGTTAAAAATAACACGATTGAACTTTGATTCTTTGAGACAGCATGTTGTTTAAGTTTTATTTGTTCACCTCCGATCCATGTCAAATTAATGGAAGTATTCAATCTTTTTAGAATAATTTTTCTTTTATTTTTCCTTGTGGCTGTCTTTTTCTTGGAGTTTATTGTTAGAGCTAATCTCTATGCAACCATTTGTAGTTCACAGTCAGCTTTTTATAAATTAAATTTCAGCAGAAAAATGGAATACAGAATTATTGAATGTGATGCCGGAAAATTATTTGGAAAATTTTTTCTTGGTACTTTGACATATCTAGTCATGCCTTTTTGGCTAGTTTATTTGAATTGGATTATTGGAACTGCTACAGATGTAAAGCCGAAGCAGAGAAATAGGCAGGATGCAGAATAATGAACTTTCCAAAAATTGAAAGTAATTAGGCAACTTAGACCAATTCGTAGAAATCGGGACAGACCTGAGAGCCTTAGGCCCTTAGCCCTTGATTTAGTTGTTTAGTTCAGTCTTCAACCCCCTACCCTAAAAAAAACCACCAACCACTACTACCTGAAAATTCTAGCTTCGCCACTGAGCTTATATTTTAAGTTGGAAATGGAAAGCCTTTGCTCCATTTTGAAGATGTAAAAATACAGGCTTAGCAAATAAGAGAAATCCAGTGATGATTGCTTTTCTATGACTATGATTTTCTATTACAAGTGTAGTGGAATTGATTTTCAATTGATGGATTCATGGCTCAATTTAAACTTGCCAACATCAAACACAATCAAACGATCAAATCCATCCTACAACGATGTTTTACTTCAGTTGCTCAACTCAATGCGTCCAAAAAGAACATAATATGGTGGCTGCAATATATAACCAAGAAGAAAGGAAGACAAGTTTCGATTTCTAACTTAAAGAGAGAGAAAATCACAGAAGGATGACTTCCTCTTTTCTTATTGCCAACTTACACACACAGCTTCTTTCGACAATGAGGCCATATATAGATTTAGGGTATCCTTTAAGTGGGCAATAATAGTGGGCTCACGAACCGGCAAATGGTAAAGGGGCCGAAACATAAAAGAGAGCCAATCAAGAAATAATTGGGTCATAAGCAACATTAACTTAATTAAGTTGCTTCCAACGACTCTCGAGTTGTTTTTCGAGTTAAGCCAATTGATTGATGTGTTGATAATAATTTTATTCATTGGCCGAGACCTATGAAACTTAGTCCAAACAGTCTAACATCATCGTCCAAGATTTACTGGGTATCAAAACTCGACAAATCTCTACCTTGTGCCCAATAAACCTGCAAGCAATCATGATAGATGCAAAATTATATAACTGTAAGCAATTTCATTCATGTCTTCAATTTCAGTTGTTTTAGCTTTTAACTCATCAGAAAATGTAGCGGGATCATCAAGAGCTTTAGCAACTCTCTGTTGGACCAAAATGGCCCTCATTTTCTGTTTCCATATCGAGTAATCCCCCTTTCCATCGAATTGCGATAATTCGACCCTCAAACCCATTACAGATTCTATAAAAGAGTGGCATGTACTCGTGGACAAAACAGAAAAGATTTTCAAAAATTCTTTTCCAGATGATCAATATAAAAATATGAATGCCGAGTTTAAAAACAATTTTAGAAATGAAGCACAACAATCACATAATTCGTTCATGAAACACATGTATATAATGCAAGTAAATATGCTTCCACGTTACAAATTAATCACAAGAATTCAATCAACAGAATTCACAAATAAGCAACCAAGCAATAACCATGCATAAACCGGTAAGGATACCAAACCTAACCTAACGGAGAGTTTGGAATAATCTTACCAAACTACTGTTGACAAACAGTAAATATACCACCAAGTTTCTGAACCAAATTGCCGTAGACGTCAAGGTAGGGGCAAAATCGTCCAACTTTTTCTGTAAAATCTGAAACAAAAAACAAACGACATCAGTGCGTTCAGGACGTCAAAATGAGTAAACTGCCCGAAAAAAGCTCGCCGGAGGTCCGGCCGCCGGAGCCACGCGCCGCCGCCAGTCACGCGCCCCACCACAGGGTGCGCCTCCTCCTGCTGGTCATGGTTCCATGGTCCATTTCGCCGGAAAGTCAATCGGTTGGCCGGAAATCAAGTTTTTCAGATTCGGTTAGAATGTGGAAATGGTGATTTCTTGCTGGTTTTTGATCGATTTTTGGACTAATATCACTCCTCCTAGCTCTGATACCAGTTTGTTGGGGATCCTAGGAGTTCAAACAACCAAACCAACAATCAACAAACAAGATTCAAGGCAAAAACAAGAAAAATAAACCGGAAGAATACTCCCCTTCTTTGGCCGAAAATCTGTCCAGCTTTTCTGCTTCGTTTCAGCAGCTCCTTCTTCGATTTATGGGTGTTTTTCCAGGCTCAGGAACAGCCCCATGTTATGCCAATTGCTTTCCAAAGAGAGAGGGGAAAAACCAATGAAGAACCACCACCCTTTTATGAAAAACGAGAGCTCCTACTGCTGGGTCTTCAAGAGACTGAGAGCTACCCCCTTTTTATTTGAAAATGGTAGAGTGTACATAATGAAGGGGTAGGAAGAAAGACCATGCCTCTGCCAAAAGGAAGGGAAGACCTTATTGTGTCAACCTCACTCCCATCAACTCACAACATTAGGTGGTGGGGTTAGGTGAACCATATCTTCACACAATGTTTATACTTTATTCTTTGCCAACCAACAAAGGCAGGAACAGCGACTTGATTTTCTTTATAGCCTAGGAAAGTGCTGATAGTTCATATTCTAAAGTAGTTTCTATCTATCTTTCTCGGTAAGTCTTGGTCGTCCGCCCATTCCCCGACTCTACTCACCTTCCAGAGGGCAAATCCAGCGGCTGATTTCAAGCGACGATCGATGATCAGACGGTGACTATCGTTTTGTTGTGATCTAATTAACATGGTAATTGTGTTCTAGCCTGCCTCATATGATCTTTTGATGTAGATTGCTTTTTCAGACTGTCCTGAGTTGAATTAATGACTGATTATTTCATGTAAAAATGCATTTTGATCAATTATGTGCGGGTTTAGGACTAATAGAAGGACAAATACTGATTACTTGATCGATCTTTGTGACTTCAGATTTTGATACTTTTCTCTTTGCATCTTCTGGTTAATTGATTTAAAGAATTTACCTATAAGTGATTATACTTATCTGTTTAGCATACTTTTATTTTTATTTCTAATTTTTGTAGATCTTCCTGAAAAAACTATACTGATCAGCTCCCTCAAAAGCACTTCTAGAATATTATCCATGTTCAAAAATAATTTTTAAAATTTTAAAAGTAGCTTTTAATTTTTAAAAATCTTGTCAATGTGCTCTTACTATATTCACAAAGTCGGTAATTTTTTAACTTAAAAAAAATAATATCTTCGAAATAATGTTATCTAGCAAAAGTAGTGTTTCAGCACCAATCTAGGTGGTTGCACTATAGTGGTTTATTAACTATATGAATTATATGACTTTTCTTTTGAATAAATATATCATTTAATATCAAATAATTGTCATCTAGATTGATGGTCAGTACTAATGATGGTTAGCATCACACATTTAGCTATTTGATTTTTAAAAATTAATTACAGTGACATAAACTCCATCATAAACCACAATTTTTTGATCAAAATTTAGAAACGCAGTTCACATGAAAAGATTTGAAGATCAAGAAAATGGGAGTTTTGCAAAGTATCTTCAGATCCTGGCGCAGTGGTAGAGAAGATGAAGAAAGTTCAGGGGAGCTGAACCCTATCCTTGATCATTACCAGAAGCCCAGTAATGGAGGTTCTTTTCGTGCATTATTGTGTATTATTTTCAAGAATCTACTGCGGAGGATCTCAAACATCCGTTTATTTTCAAAGCCAAGAAAACCAGAACCTATACTTCCTGTTGTAAATCCAGTAGTATCAACCAGATATCATGGGTCTTCGGCAATCCAAGAGATTTCTTCTGCTAGTTCAGATTCATCTTCGGACTCGAGCCCAGGCGCCACGTATGTCCCCCCTTCAGATTTGGAGAGGCAGAGGAATTACTCGGACATAGAAAATGAATCCCCTCCTCCAGATTTAGTGTTGCAGAGAGACTACTCAAACTCAGAAAATGAAGTGTATGCTAATGCTGCATGGCTGCAAAATCCGCCAGTTTCATCTGCAATCCGGACAGAGTCCTTGGAGGTCGACGATTCAAACTATATCAAACAGCTGAATGTGATAATTGATGTACCTACCTTTAATTGCTCTCTTGCCCACAAAAACGCATTTGACGTAGTGGATTCAGCTGTTTTTATTGAAAACGAGAAAAATCAGCTTGAACCGAGTGACTCCAGAGAGGAAGTTGAGGAAGAGAAGGTGATAAATTGTTTGGTGGCAGAAGGGAAATGGATAAAGCACTATAATAGTTACCACAGGATACTGCTTGTGGGTGAAGGAGACTTCTCTTTCTCTGCTAGTTTGGCTGTGGCTTATGGTTCTGCCTCCAACATGATTGCAACTTCTCTTGATTCTGTTGGTAAGAAATTTTCATAAATTCTCTGCCTCCATTTATTAATTGTGGGATTCGTGTATAAGATAATTTGTTTATCTTTCTGAATATTTACGATACTAGATTAGTTAAACATATTTTTGATTGTCCCATTTGAAAAAAAATAATAAATAATAAAAAATTTGCTCGAGTATGATGAAAAAAGTGTCATGCACAAAGAGATGACTGATATATTGTTGAAAATCTTGGGCAAACTTCGTGTTTTTATGGCATTATTGTCATTCATAGAGTATGGAAATCCATCTTGGATGCACCAGGAGAAAACTTTTATGTAATATTTGACATATATTGTGGAAAATCTTGTGCAAACCTCGTGTTTTTACATTTATTTATATATATTTCAAGATTTGGGTTAAATGTTGGTGGGATTTGCAGATTTTCTGAAGGAAAATTATAAGCGTGCAATGTCCAACATTGGGAAGCTTAGAAGTAGGGAGTGCATTGTCATGCATGGGATTGACGCTACAAAAGTTGCAAGTCATCACTTTCTTGGAGGAATGACATTTGATAGAATAATTTTCAACTTTCCTTTCGCTGGATTTTTCAAGGACTTATCTCGTGAGGCTCAACTAAGGTCGGTTTGTATTATAATTCTTTCGGTTAATGGCTTTCATTTAAGACATATTTTCTGTTTATCTACAGAAAGCACAGAAGACTTGTGAGTTTGTTTCTTAAGAATGCTAAAGAAATGATTGGTGAAAATGGTGAAATTCACATTTCCCACAAAACCAATGGTTTTCATGAAGAATGGATGTTAGAATCAGTGGCTTCTTCCCACAGGCTTGGGCTCATTGAGGCTGTGGAATTCAATCGGTTTGATTATGAAGGTTACAACACCAAGTGTGGATTTGGGGGTGACAAAAATTTCCATTGTTACCCTAGCAAAACTTACAAATTTGGTCTTAAAAGGGCACAATTTCATCTGTTAAGTTAGTCACTTGATACGGTAATGGAAAAAATAAATACTATGATAATGGTATGTAAATATTATTTCTATTTCGTGAGTGTTTAAACAACGGGACAACGTTTGAATTTGGTGTGATCTGCTTCTAATGTCTTGAATGTTTACCTATTTTACAAAACCAATCATGCCACAATGCCATAATACATAACTCTTAATATAATGTCACATTGCATTTCATTATTGAACTGTTTTAAACACAGTTAGCTTTTCCACCAAATCATCAACTTCTAGTTCGAATTATGTCACTGCATCTATTACATTTCTTCTGACAATGTGGCAAAATCCTTACAAGACCAAACCAAGTTTGGTAGATCATCTCTTTTAACGGGTAGGTTCAAAACATTCCAAATATTTTTTCAATTGCAAATATTCCTAATATATTTCTGCATAATATAAAATTTTATGAAGTCTGCTTTATTTATTTATTTATTTATTTTTTTAATATTTTTTTTTTGGTTCTTTTTAATTATTATTATTATTTTTTTTCTTTTTTTGGAGGAAACACTTTGTCCCTTTTCATTTATAGAAAATGTCAAATAATTTTGTAGTCAATGGCTTGATATACCTGGAAGTACTATTCAACCCTCTTCCCTACTAAAATACACATGCTAGTTGTTTCCACTTTCTTCAACATTGACTTTGCAGTAAAAATTTACAATGCGAATTGTATGTGTATGAAGGCTCAATTGGTCTATCCACAGAAACAAACAAATGTATTAAACGAACATATGAATTATTACCCTTTTGCAAGAAGATATATTTGCCTATTGTCTTTCTACCCGTTGATTCCAGCACGAGGAAAGTTGAAAATAACGTGATTGAACTTTGATTCTTTGAGATCAGCATTTTGTTTGGTTACCTCCAGTTCATGTCAAATGGAAGAACCCAAACTTTCAAAATTGACCAATTTGATTTTGCAGTTGTAACATAGCCGAAACCTTAAAACTTAAGAAGTGTTAGCATTAGATTATTGTTTTAAATAAAATCATTAATACGGAAAAATGATTGCTATATTGTTATTATTATTTTTTTTTTATTTTTTTAAAAAGTGGGTCACGAACAAGCCTCGGACTGAACCTCTGAACTACAATTGTTTTAGGGAGCAAGCTTCGATATTTGGGCTTTGCCATTGTAAGTGTTATGTCCTAAGTCCAATCGATTTTGGACATAAACACCTTTTAATATATAGTTGATGCAATTTATGACAAATCTATTATTTAATTAATTAATATTTAATTGAATCAAATCATAGAGTCCGTAGATTCAAATCTTAGTAATTTGTTAATCACAAAGAGTTGTGATTGTAAGATACAAATTATATATAATTGAATCTTAAATCATCCGTGGTCGTAAGTAATGACGAGATACAAATATGGTTATTGCGGATAGACTATCACGTGTGGCATTTCTTGTAAAATAAGTAGTTGATCTCACAAGTTAAAATGTGGTGACACTTAAATGAACACATGGATGTTTTGTTATAGAACAAAATATTGGAGACCCGCTGAGAGATTCCACATGGATAACTATCTTAGTGTCAGCGGTTAATATCTAACGTTTGGTAGTAGGATTGGTCCTTTGACTTGAGGTCGTCATAGTGCCTTATATGATGACAGTCATGCTTTGACGGTGTTGGATGTTGCTCTGCCAAGGGCCGCTAATACGACATCGTTCGGGTACGTTAAGAATAATATGAATGTTGTGAATGACCAATAGAGAATTTGTCACTCTTAGATAGTAAGAGATTATGATATGCATTTCATTCAATTAAGTTGATAACGAAATTCTTGACCAAGGTGTATTCTTAAGTCAAAATAGAATTTTCGATTTATATTGACTTAATAGTGGAATGAAAGATATGATCGATAATCGAGATTGACACACTTTCATATCTTGTAATTGATTGAATCATATTGACAAAGGGATTATAGTTTCACGGAAAACGAACGAGTTTGGTTTTGTCATACCACGTGACATTTTCCTTCACATGTATTGCCTTGATACATTGCTAGATGTCAATTTGGAACGACGAGTGTGAATCGGTGATAAATTAAAAGGGTGTTTTAATTTATCAATTTTGATTAAATCAAAATAATATTTTATATCGTTAGGTATCGTGATCGGGAACCTGATGGGTTGCACACAAAAGGAGAACTGAAAGATTGTGATTTGTCAATTAATTAATTTAACAAGCATTGGATAAATTAATTAATTGGGTTGCTTATTTATAGGTCTAAATTAATTAATTGGATTAATTAATTCACGAACCGAATTTAATTAAATGGGTTAATTAAATATTGGATCGGGTCAGACCAAGCCCTTCGGGCTTATATAAATATGACCAGGGTTTTCAAAATCTGTAAAGGATTCATTCTTGCTAGCACAAGAAGAAAAAAACTCTAATCCTACAATCTTGTTCTCTGTGTGGATCGCTGTTGGAGGCTGGACAATTGGACAATTGTAGGTGGCGAATCAAGATCGCTGGAACAAGGGAAAAGCAAATGAGTTTGCAGATCTAGAAATATGTACAATTTCTATTTAAACACAAAGAGATCCTTGATGGGAATTGAAAATTGTTTTTAATTCCCCTGCGCATGATTAAGTAAATACCAAACAGCCACATCGGATAGGAGCCTCGCCTAGCTTCTTATGAGATGTCATTCCACGTGGAATGCCACACAGGCTACTTGGGGGGGGGGGGGTCTCGGCATCAAGGCTTAACAATAGATCCCCAAATCCATATATGATTTTTCATGTTATGTGTGGACTTGTTTCATATGCGACGTGTTGTTGTAGTTCTTGCAATGGTTAGGTTTTTGACTCAATAAGATAGTCCTCCACTTCATTTGAAATTCTCCAAACGATAGAATCCTATTCGAATGATTGATGTGATCCCTGTAATAAGTAATATATCAAACTCTTGTCAGCATAAGTTATAGGGTGGCTACCTCTTTTAAGAGCATCAAGGGGTTGTTCGAGCCCTATTTATTAAAATGCATTTTGTAATAGTGTTATGATGGAAAATGTGTAGTTAAAAAATAACAAAAAAATTTGGGTTTGTATGTAAAATTATTTTATTGAAAAATGTGTGGTTGAAATATGGTCAAATCATTGTTCAAGACTACATTTTGATGGAAAAATGGGGCTCAAACAAGGGCTAAATGTGCCACAAGCTAGCGAGGTTAAATTGATGCATAGGATATGATGTTTCGATTAAAGAGATAAAGCATCGCGTGCCTCCTTATTCAATGGACATCATTTCATATGTGACACTATTAATACTCTTTCCTTGTATCATTTGAAGGGTAATGCAATATTATACATTGAAGACTAGAGTTATTGCTTCTCTTTGCTTTGTTATTCTCTATTTCTCGAGCTAGATGTTTAACCTTGAGTTTATGCGTTCTTGATTGTTCATTACCATACAATCCTATTTATATATGTTCTCGGAGCTTGAACATCTTTGTCTCGCATTATAAAGTTTCTCCCCTGCTTAAATTCGAAACACCGTTGACTAGTAATCCGTCCAAGCATGTTGAAATAGTTTGTGTGGACACGAGTGGGCTCCATAACACTAACATTTAAATTATTCCTTTTTAGAATAAGATATGTTTGCCTAACCACATGGGAGTGTATTTCTCCCTGTTGAATCTAGCCTGAGGAAAGTTAAAAATAACACGATTGAACTTTGATTCTTTGAGACAGCATGTTGTTTAAGTTTTATTTGTTCACCTCTAGTCCATGTCAAATTAATGGAAGTATCCAATCTTTCCAGAATAATTTTTCTATTATTTTTCCTTGTGGCCGTCTTTGTTTTGGAGTTTATTGTTAGAACTAATTTCTATGCAACGATTTGTAGTTCACAGTTAGCTTCTTATAAATTAAACTTCAGCTGAAAAATGGAATACAGAATTGTTGAATGTGATGCAAGAAAATTATTTGGAAAAATTTTTCTTGGTACTTTGACATATCTAGTCATGCCTTTTTGGCCAGTTTATTTGAATTGAATCATTGGAACCGCTACAGAAGCAGAGAAGTAGACAGGATGCAGAATAATGAACTTTCCAAAAATTGAAAGTAATTAGGCAACTTAGACCAATTCGTAGACACCGGGACAGACCTGAGAGCCTTAGGCCCTTAGCCCTCGATTTAGTTGTTTAGTTCAGTCTTCAACTCCCTTCCCTAAAAAAACCACCAACCAACACTACCTAAAAATTCTAACTTCGCCACTGAGCTTATATTTTAAGTTGGAAATGGAAAGCCTTTGCTCCATTTTGAAGATGTTAAAATACAGGCTTAGCAAATAAGAGAAATCCAGTGACGGTTGCTTTTCTATGACTATGATTTTCTATTACAAGTGTAGCGGAATTGATTTTCAATTGATGGATTCCTGGCTCAGTTTAAACTTACCAACATCAACCACAATCAAACAATCGAATCCAACCCACAACGATGTGTTTTACTTCAGTTGCTCAACTCAATGTGTCCAAAAAGAACATAATAGGATGGCTGCAATACGTAACCAAGAAGAGAGGAAGACAAGTTTCGATTCCTAACTCAAAGAGAGAAAAAATCACAGAAGGATGACTTCCTCTTTTCTTATTGCCCACATACACACAACTTCTTTCAACAATGAGGCCATATATAGATTCGGGGTATCATATAAGTGGGCAATAATAGTGGGCTCATGGACCAGCAAATGGTAAAGGGGCCGAAACATAAAGAGAGCCATCCAAGAAATAATTGGGTCATAAGCAACATTATCTTAATTAAGTTGCTTCCAACGACTCTCCAGTTGTTTTTCGGGTTAAGCCAATTGATTGATGTGTTGATAATAATTTTATTCATTGGCCGAGGCCTATGAAACTTACTCCAAACAGTCTAACATCATCGTCCAAGATTTACTGGGTATCAAAACTCGACAAATCTCTACCTTGATGTCCAATAAACCTGCAAGCAATCATGACACACAATTTGTACTTCCATAATCAAGATAATCAATAAAATTGAAATCACAAACCTTACCTCATGTTTCGAATCCAAAACACATGTCATACCTACTCTATGCACTCACTAGAGCTAAGGTCACTATATATATATATATATAT